TCTGGTATTGGCTGATATTACTTCTGTTAGGAATCGTAGTGATTTTTCCGAATGACGTTTGACCTATATAATAGCTTCTCTGGACTCACCGATGTTCGAGTTAGTGCTTTCATTATGTGAGTTTGCTGGTCTCGAGTTGAGGCGGTGAAAGAGATGTGGGAAACGGCTCAGTATTTGCACTAGTGCAGCTTAGTCACGTACTGGGATATATCAAGTCAACTAGCTAGGAAATGGAAAAAAATGGAAACTTGAGAAAAGATAAGGAAGTCGCCTGCAGTGGCGCGACTCGAAACTAGCGACAGACTCGTTTTATCCCCTTCTAGTGCTACGTCACCGACTCCCCTGTGTTTGGCGGAGGGGATATTATGGCTAGTGGCACGCATACCACAGGCGCGGTCTGGGATCAATTCCCAGATCGACTCTCGCTCAGGATAAGGAAAATAACCTGTAGATTGGGTGGCCCACCGCATTTCGCATTCCATAAACCGCTACGATTCTGAAGTGAAGTAGAGTACGTGCCGCATCCCTCAAAACGATTGATTAACGGCGAAGACTAGACTGTGTGGTAAGCGGAGTTACCTACTACTATTCCATGTGCTCGCTCGAACATCCATTAAAGCAATCAAATATTAACACATTGGCGACAAGGCGCCTTTTCGCGTGTCTGCCGCGTGGGACAAAGCAGTTTTTCCCTATTTTCGAAGAATGCGCATAAATGCTAGGGCGTTTATACACCAAAACAATTGAAGAAGAACTAGAATTCAATGCAGAAGCTGGTAAGGCTTCGCTGTTTTTGTTTACTTTCAAGATAAACCCTAAATTTTCATGGAATACTCCCGCCTCATTCACGTGGAACGTGGGAACAAGGTCGCAAAAAAGGAATATTTTCGCGCCAGAGGTGGTAAATTGGATTCGATCCAGATCTGCTATTGTTGAAAGTTACCTTATCACATTAGCTATCTGCATGTGGAGCTTCAGTTCTATATATCCAAGAAATTAATTTTTCCTAAAGAAATCACTTTCGTTAGTCCCTCGGTAAAATACTTCTAATGACACAACTGCATGGTTCACAGCTACTGTATATTCTACAATGCCTTCCTGGACAATGTGGCTGTTGAAAATTTGAAACTATTCAAACTGGTTTTTTACCCATGCCGCATCCCAGCATTGGGACGCAATGTCCCACGCGGCAAAAAGGTGCGTCCCAGCATTGGGACGCAATGTCGCCAACGTGTTAATGAGTGAAAGCATGTGTGAATCCTGTTTTTATGTTACTACATAACTTTGTATATTTATCATTTTAGGCCGTCGACCGTCTCAGCCTCAGGCCGTCGGACCCCCCCCCCCCCGCCGGCGCCGGCCGGGCGCGGGGGCCTCAGGCCTCAACGAGTCCTTCAGTAGTGATCATTCCGTTCCAGTCCAGCAACTAGGCTTGGGATGGAAAGTTTGTAAGATATTGCTGTTGGCAGAAATGTAAAATCATTTCTGTAACAATTTCAGATGGGATTCCTCGGTGTGTTACATATGGAGGTTTTTGGTGCTCGACTGGATCAGGAGTATGGGACCAGTGTCATTCTCACTCAACCTTCCGTAGAATACAAAGCATTGGTGAAGGTGACGAGAATGGGCTCTTATAGTTCACTTCTTTCGTTCTGAGGAAATGAAAAAAAAAAACCGGAAATATACAGGGGGGCCAAAAAAAGTCACTTCGACCGAGTCACATATCAGCAAAGTTTTCGCTGCCCAGAGAGAAGACGTGGATACGAGTACCAGGGCGGAAGATACCCAAGATGTTCCTCGATAAGCAGGAGCTGGCTCTCGCCCATCACCTCCAGTCGCAGCCTGACTGGAGAAGACCTTTGGAATTCATGTCACCTCCAAACAGCTGCGAAACTTCTAGTGTGGAGTCACCCATGGATAGCTACCTGGAGACCAGTACTCTCGATCTGGATGACCCAACATCGAGCAGCTCCGACAACGTCGCCACGGTCTAGGACATCATCTTCACCACAGTCGCCAAGGCGGTGGTTGATGGTGTGGAACAGCGAACCGTTTCTGAAAGGGAACCGATATTTTCTTCGTGGACCCCGGACTGAAGGTGAGCGCTGGCGGTTACATCGAGCAACTCGAGAAGAATATCCTCCCCACATGTCGTCGCCCGTACCTTCTTGGAAACTTTGTACTGCTACAACATTGGGTGCCACCACATGGAATCGAAGGGCGTAGAGAAGAAACTTTCGCCTGCTTGGAATTGAAAGGGGGCCTGCAGTAGGGCCTGCAGTACCTTAGAGAAGATGGAATATCCAAGTAGATCACCTGAACTAATTCTCTCTATTACCCAGTTCGGGCGGAGTTCAATAAGGTGGTCTACGGTGGCGGATCGACTCATCTCAAGCACCACATCGCGGTCGCGTGGCAGAATCTCTCGATGGCGCTCGTCCAGAAGGCCGTGGCGGAGTGTCATGATAGTATTTTTAATATGCTCTTTAATTATGGGTGAGTCAAATGTTCCGATCAGAATTTAATAAAGTGTTAACTTGTAATTAATAATTTGGTTCGGGGTGTAAACCTCCCCCCCCCTGATAAGACAAATGTTGATGTCCCAGTCTCACAAGCCTGTTTACAGCTGACGGTTCGCGCGAGCGCCAGGTCCTTGGGCCATGGGCGACCTCGGTTGAACGCCTAGTTGTGGCCACCTTCTGCCGTCAGAAGGTGCGCGAACGGGCCGACAGGTACAGCAAGCCTGAGCTGCCGTCCCACATTTCCGCGCTGCTAGTGTTTCAAACGTGATACCGGGAACATAGTCACTTAGATAGACAAACTAGCAATGAGACAAGTGGCCTCGCCATGGTTAGACGTGTGGTTGACCGTGAGACAGCGCAGGCAGCGTTGCGAAAGGAATGATTTCACTGCCCTCCTTGTCGTCGTTCCACGTAGCCGGAAGAATGTGTACTGTTTTCTTTGAAGGTTTAGCGCCAGTTTCGGGCCAACAGGGTCATAACGTCTTGCAGTTGCAGTAGTGTGGTTATAGATTATACATGGGGCTCGGAAAGCATGAATACACTTCCGAACTTCTTCGAAAGACGTTTTTTTAATGGCTCAGCATCACTGGAATGATGCGTATGAGCGCATTTTTCTTGAATTTTATCCTTTGTATTTCAGGAAAATGAAACCATTAGAAAGAAGCGTTTCGGCGGCAAGGGCGAGGTCAGTATTATCGACGCGAGCAAGTTTCCCGAAGAGAGCGATATCGAAAAATTCCTGGAACCTGTAGTTACGGTGAGTGTATTTCTTTTCATTCCTATGTGATTTTCCTGATTTTCCCTGTGATTAGTAGGATAGAAGGATACGAGTAAGTAGCTGCTTAGTTGCCTGAGGAGTTTGTGGACGATGGCAAGATGACGGATATGACACTTATTATATGAACCGCGTGGTGCTTGTTGACATCACTTTGAAGAGAACAGCAGAGAAAAAAACACTCGAGAACGCCTCAAAATAACACCCTCTCACACCCAGGAGGTCGATCTTGCTTGCGCCATATCAGGAGAACCTTAGTTAAGGCTTTTGAAGGAACAAACAGCTCGTAAATGTGGTATAATGAGACCGTCTTTGTTTCTACTAGATTGAGCGATAGCTTACAGAAGGGTGTCTTTGAATAGCCAGCTGTCATCTGTCATACTGCTATTGGGGCGCAGCTGATCGTAATTGCCACCCTCCACCACACTTCTGCAGCCCATCTTTTGCAGCGGATTACTCGTCGAGATCGCTCATCATTCTGATTAACGTACTGACCGTCAGAACGCCAGCACAGACGCCGAATCAGGGTATAGCATCGATTCGAAATGGAGGAGAATCGGGTTTTGGTGGGACCCCCCTTCGCCCCCTGTCTGTCATTCATTCCGCTCCTCCCCTTAGTTGCTGTGCAGTGTGTGGATCTGCTCGGTTTATCAGCTGTTTATGTTGTCTGTTATGCGAGCTTTGCTGAATCTGAGTATCACTGAACATTTACCATGTTATTCGAACAAGAACAAGAGAACAGAAAATCGAAAAGATTATTTTCTCAGAAGTAGTGCCACCATCGTAGTATCAAAATAGTTTATCAGATCTAAAGGTAGTTATTAATCTCATAGGGGACCGCGGCGTAATTTATGTATTCGTTTGAAGAGCTCGAAGTATTTCGTATGCGAAAAAATATTGGTTGGTGGGTTCGCAGAATAGTTCCAAATACCTTATGTGCAAAAAATATTGCTTAGTAGGTTCGCATAATAGTGCCGGCGGAGATGATGGGCATAGTGAACGGACTGTGTTCGGAATGTCGTGGGGAACGCGGTGACGTGAGCTCCATCGACGAGAGCAGGTTACTGATCGTCTGGAAACTGCCACTAGCTGAAGGTTTGCACTTCGTTATAAGTTCACTAGGTCTCATGTGTAATGTTTTTGCTCTCAAGATCTCATGTTATGAGGATGAACACATTTTTCGGATTTCAGTGGTGATCGACTTTTTCGAGCGATTGAAGCGGATCACTTCTGGATACGCTTCTTTTGATTACGAACAAGACGGGTACATGGAAACAAAACTTATCAAACTGACGCTGACAATTAATGGACGAGAGGCGAGTGGAATTATTCTTAGCTCGCTCCTTTCATCTCTCGAAAAGGACGAATTAGCGACTTAATCGCAGTGGTGATAGTTGTCGCACGTTGTTGTTTGTCCCTAGACGCGGAACAGAACCCTCATTTACGGTCGCTGCGCGATTCAGCATTCTATTGAGAAACTCGAGATGACACCGTGATGGAATACAGCTACTGTCAGTAATGACGGGTCAGATCTGATATTTAGTAAGTTTGTAAGTAAAGAAAAATCGAAGGAAACTGCCCGAACCTTCTTGGATGTTGTAGGAGTTCACCAAAAAACAGGTCCAGAAAGAAAAGCCGAGAGGTAGGAGACAACGAAGAGGTGAGAACTGGCGGCTTATATTAGGTTGGAAGGAAAGTCCTGTCAGTGTTTTTTGAAAAGCTTACAGTTTTTGATTCTCGATGCTCGTACATGACGTAACATGCTATGCTTGTAGGACACTCTGGGAGCTTTCCTGCAAGAGGCGTGTGAGGGCGCCTGCTCTTCCCTGGGTTTAATTACGATGTCAGTTTCACAGGAGTATCTTCGGGTCATCATCTTCTATCAGTGGCCCGCGGCACTGGGGCCACGGCAGCTGTCCGTAACATCAACAGTGCATTGAGGGAGGACACCACTACCGTCAGGATCGTTCACTTTTAGTTCGCTCGCTTCGCGAAAAGAGACTCGATCCTCGAAGACAAACCTTGGTTGGGACGGCCCCAAGAAGTATAAGACTCCACCATTCTCGAAGCAGACAAGGGGGATCCAGAGGCTACCACCCGCAGTCTTGCGACAAGACTCGGATGTACCTAACTGACAGTCGTCCACCGCCTGTAAGCCTTTGACTACCAAGAAGTACTGGCCTGG